CCCCAGCCCCCATCCATCCTCCGAACCAGCCTCGAAACGCCACAACTTCACCTCTCCAGACGCAGCTGAGCCAGGGCCAGTTTTCGAGCCATCAGGCCTGGGAAGGAAAAGGAAAAAAAAAAAAATGGGTTTGCAGTGGACAAAAGGGGAGACAGAAGAGCAGAGGGGAAAGACACAGGGGCTGGCGAGCAGGAATGAGGACAGCGGCGGGTCAGAGGAGCCGGGCAGGGCGGGCAGTCACAGACCTCCACCCACCCTGGATGGTGTGCACCTTGCGGACTGCATAGCTCAGTCGGTTGCTGAGGCCGGGAAGCCGGGCTGCAGCCTGTTCCAACTTTGCCGTGGTGCTCTGGAGGCCAATCTGGCAGCTGGAGAGGGCACAGGTCACTGACCCTCCACCCTCGGCCACCCTCAAAGGACCTGTTGGCCTCAGGCGGACCACATCGTCCATCCTGTGCTGTGCACAAGTGAGGAAAGCAGGGGGAGGGGCAGGAGCGAGGACAGGAAGCAGAAGTGGGGGCAGGAGGTTAGTGCCCAACTCTGCAACTCTGCGTGGAGCTAGGGAGCAAGAGAGGGAGACGGACAGGGAGGGAGGGAGGGAGGGGAAAACAGAGGAGAACCCGAGAGCTTAATGGCTTCAGTGTCAAAGACAATCCAGGTAACCAGCCGTGGTGGCACACACCTGCCATCTCCACACCCGGTAAGACCGAGGCAGGAGGGACACTGTGGCTTGTGTGTAGGGGTCTCCTCCAAAGCCTCACAGGTGGGGCTTCTTGGAGGCAGCTGGATCTGCAGTGTGTCACACTGGGATTAAGGATGTGTGGTAACTAAATTTGTTTGCTTTGGTACTGGGGATCGAACTCGGGACCTTGTGCTTGTGAGGCAGGTGGCAGAACCACTGGGCTAAATCCCCAGCCCTTGTGGTAACTAAATTCATCCACTGATTGGTTTATCCTAATTCTGGGTGTGGATAATGGGAAGGCCCACTGTGGGTGTGTGTGGCACCTCCCCAAAGGCCAACAGCCTGAATGGGATAGAAGGGAAAGAAGAGTCACTGCTGCTGCTGGCCGCCTGCCTGCCATAGTCTGTTTCTCCCCTTCGGCCACCCTGCCTTGGAGCCAGCTGACTGAACTGAAACCTCTACAAATTTAGCTGAAATAAACCTTTCCTCCTTAGCTGGTGAAGGTTGGGTATTTTGTCCCAGCAACAAAAAAAGCAAAACAGGAGCATAAGTTCGAGCCTAATTACTCAATTAGTTAGACCCTGTTTAAAAGTGAAAAAAGCAAAACTGTAGCTAGTGCAATGCTCTTGGTTCAAGTCTCTCGGTGCTTCCCCCACCCAATTCTAACCAGGCGTGGTGATGCACACCTGTAATCTCAGCACTCAGGAGGCTGAGGCAGGAGGATCATGGCCAGTTCAAGGCCACTATGTGCTACACAGAAAAACCCTGTCTCAGAAAACAAATAAACCAAACCAAAACAAGCTTGCAGGCATTGTGAGACTGACTCATCTACAGCTATGCTTGGCTTCTTCCCCTGCCGGATCCTGCTCCCGGGCACAGGGTCTGGCACCGTCTACCTCAACACACTTATGGTGTGTAAATTTAGGTGTGTGTTTCTAAGGAAGAAAGCCCATAGCTCCCATAGGTTTTTCTTTTTTTTGTTGTTTTCCAGCACTGGGGACTAAACTCAGGACCTTCATGCTGAGCTACATCCCCAACTCTTTTTGTTTTGAGACAGGGTCTTCTAAAAGTTACTAAGTTGCCCAGGCTAGGCTGAAATTTATGATCCTCCCACCTCAGCCTCCCAGAGTGCCGGGATTACAAGTACAAATCCACATGTGGCTGGTAGCCTTCCAAGCAACCAAGTTTACTTCATGCACCCCAATTTTGACCACTTTGGGGCATCAGAGAGCAAGTTACCCTCTGGAAGGAATGCAGGGGCACAGGTCCCTGTGCTGTATCAGCTGGCTAGGCCAGTGGCAGGATCCACATGGCTCAGGAAACAGGAGTGGAACTGAGCCCAGGGAGAGGCCAGCGCGTAACCAGGGCGCAGGCTTTTCCGGAGAGCTCACGTCTCCACCAGCAGCAGAACAAGTGGGAACAAAGCCAGCGTGCAGGAAAGATCGCGTCTGAACCCACAGTGTCTGTCAGAGCCATTCCCTGGTAAAGTCTCGAGGCCACCCAGAGTCACTGACAAACCTGGCACCCATGCTGAAGCCTGGAGTTCTTGGTACTAAATCGTTAGCCAAAGCACTTCCACGATCTGCTGGTACCAAGGAAAGCCCTGGCAAGTGAATCTCTTTCTGTTCTAGCAGTGATGGCGAACCTTTTAGAGCTTTCGGTGGAAATAGGTAGCCCACTGCGGCACACGTGGCACAGGTTCCCCAGCACAGGCCAGAGGCACAAGCAGGGAACTGAGTGTGGGCAGGGGTCCTCATAACTCATCTAATTCTGAGCAAGGGCTGGGGCCGGGGACTTAGCTCAGTGGCTCTGCTGCCTGCCTCACAAGCTCAAGGTCCTGAGTTTAATCCCTGGTACCAATAAAAAAAAAAAAAAGCTAACCTAATTCTGAGCAAGTTTAAAATTTGTGTCTTTTTTTGCAGGGAGGTGCTTGCTGGGGATTGGACCTAGGGCCTTATATACAAAAGGCAAGGCAAGCATTCTACCACTGAATCATAATTAAAGTGTTCTTTTTTTTTTTTTTTTTTTTTTGGTACCGGGGATCGAACTCAGGTCCTTGCACTTGCAAGGCAGGCCATCGAACCACTGAGCTAAATCCCCGGCCCTAAAGTGTTCTTATATGGTTTGTTTTTTGAAACAGGGTCTTGCTATGTATTTCAGGCTGGCCTCAAAATCACAGCAATCCTCCTGCCTCAGCCTCCGAGTGCTGAGATTACAGGAGTATGCCACTAGCATGCCTGGCTGTTTTCATATATATTTTATTTTATTTTATTTATTATTTTTTTTTTTTGGTACCAGGGATTGAACTCGGGACCTCGCACTTGCAAAGCAGGTGGCATCACCACTGAGCTAAATCTCCAGCCCAGTTTTCATAATCTTTAAAGATGAATGTGCCCCTAGTACAAATCCAAGAAAACAGTACAGTAAGCAAGGATCCAGCCTGTATCATAATTTTACAAAATCCAAGACTGTTATCCGCTCCATCATCAAAGCCAGCCTCTGCGTTAAAGGCTGTACCCGGCCAGGGCGGAAGTTGTTCCTGGTACAAAGCAGTTTTTGTTTTTCCTTAGCAGTTGCTGCTAAAGACTAAATAACAATTGTCAGGAACAAACAACCAGAAAGTCGTATGAGACACAGTGCCTGACTGAGAAGTGCTGTGTGATACATTTAGACGGCTATCTGGTAAGCAAGTGGGAACAGCTTTAAGCAAATAAACTCATTTGTTTTTCCCCAAGCAGCAAGTGCTTATAAAATGGTAAAAAGAAGCCGGGCGTGGTAGCGCATGCCTGTAATCCCAGCACTCAGGAGGCCGAGGCAAGAGGATCGCTGCTAGTTGGAGACCAGCCTGGGCTACTCAGTGAGTTCCAGGTCAGTCTCAGCTACATAGTGAGACCCTGTCTCAAAAAACCAAAATAAATAAAAATAAATAAGTAAAATAAAATAAAATGGTAAAAAGAAAGCAGGGATGGTGGTACACGCCTGTAATTCTAGCACTCAGGTAGTTAAGGCAGGACAGTTGCTACAAGTCTAAGGCCAGCCTGAATTACATAGTGAGACTGTCTCAAAAGAAAAACAAACACGCAAGACAGAAAAGTGAGAAAGTAAAGGAGGGAGGGAGGAGGCCAAGTACCCGACACACCCAAGCCGAGGGTCCCTGAGGCGGGGGCCTGCCTGGGCTGCCCCTCTCAGCTCACCTCCAGCCCGCACAGGGAGGGCTCCCACGTAGCAAGGGGCGAGGGCGCTGCCCAGGAGAATCCCACATGGCCGTGGGAGGGCGGAAGACTCCAGCCGGGCACCCTGGGCTGCCA